TCTCTTCTCAACGTGGGTATAATTTAGCCTCATTGGTTAAATTATTTGTGGGCGTGGAAAGGCTGACTTAACGTTTTCTCGTGAGGGACGGGAATTGTAGAACGTTAAAGCCGCACGGATAGAAATAAAAAGTATGTGATGTACTCTTGCCCACACCCCGGGCAAGTAGGAAATGATGCTACAAATAGAAATAAAAGGCAACACGAAAAAAAAAAGAGGAGAACTAACAAAAGGGCTACTGCTAAGTCATGCTTCAACTCGAGGGAGAAACACCACCACTGTCGCCTCGCGACGAAAGACCAAGTGACTTAGATGACTATGCCCCACTCTCCTTCCCCTTGCACTGTGCAAGGAATTTATCAAATCCTGAGGGGGCAATAGAAGGGTGTTCGGTCGATATCCACTCATTGGTCAGCTTGATGAACACCACCATCGCCTTCCCCCCGTACGAATGCAAAGTCCTGGCGTAATCAGACGATGACTTGTACTGCTTAACAGATGTCTCCAAGTCCCTAGCGTACTCAGCAGAGGCCTTATACCTCTCAAACACCTCCTCCGGAGCACGAGCCAACACAGATCGCAAATTGTCGTTCTCTGTCTCCTGCTCATAGACTCGAGCCTCCAATGCCTCTGGAGATTTCTTCAAGGAAGATATCTCCTTCTTATAGTGATGAGCCTCCTTTTTCTTTTCCTCTGCAAGAGTCTTCAGCTCTAACGCCTGGCGACGACTCGATTCAGCAAGCCTAGTCTAAAAGGCCACCACCTAAAAGATGAGAAGACAATATGAGAGTCGAGTGGCATAACCATGTGCCCAACCCAGCGTAATATATATATATATATATATATAGACACACACACACACACATATAGAATTAGAAGCATACCCTCTGGAAATAGACCGCCGCAGCCCTTTCGATATCGTCTGCGCTACGTCCTGCAATCAACTTCGCCCGCGCGGGTGTCACTAAAGACTTAAGTACCTCCATCTCACGATAACCCCGGGTGGGAGGAAACCCGAAATTAGGAGGTGAACCCTCACACTCCCCAAGCGTGCAACTGGAAGAGCCCAACCTAGGAATAGGAGCAACCTTGATAGGCTCGTCCGAGGGCTGGAGAGTCACTTTTGCCACTTGAGATTTTTCCCCTTGGTCAGCCATCTTTTTCCTCTTTAAGGGGGCAGGGCATGGCTCAATGTCACTTCCATACCCTTGTTCGGGCATAGAGTCCATGGTTCCCTCCAAGTCAAATTTCATCCCTGTACATGCAAGGTAAGGCTCGTCAGGCTCGCAAAACAAAAGAGTGTGAGAACACAAAACAAGGAAGGGAAGCTCAAGAGTTTACCGTCAATGGGAGCGAGGCCCTCGTCACCTCCCGGCAGGGTCTTCAATACTTCATCTAGGTCGAAGTCATATCTGTATGCACATGCCCAAACAGATTAGTCCCAAAAAGCAACAAATAAAAAATGTGTGCAAGTCAAGAATAATAGGAACCGGTGGAAGCAGCCCATCAGTAGGATGACCCATCCCCACTATCAACATGTTCCTCATGGTCAGGACCGATTCTAAGTCAGGTGCGAGAGGGGGTATATCAACCAGCTCTTAGATTTCAGCTTTTAGAGTAGAGGAAGCTTCTACTTAACTATTGAAAAGGCGAATTTGAGGATACCGCCAACAGGTATTAAAAGGAAACCGACCTGCTGAAGGCCGGCTAAAGAAAAATCGAGATTTCCAACCGCTATTCGAATTCCTGAACTTAGGAAATAGCAAAGGGACTCTAGTGGCAAAAAAGACAAACGCATTACACTGAGCTAGTTCATGCATCTCAAAGACACACCTAAAGAGGTCCATGGAAAGCGGAATTCTCCTCCTAAGACAAACATACGAGAAGTACAATGATTTTCTCCAAGCATTGGGGTTTATTTGACTAGGAGTGAGACGAAACTCATTGAAAATTGACACGAAGAAGGGATGAATGGGTAGCCAGAAACCGCCATCCATGATGTCCTTATACACCGCTATCTCCCGAGGGTCAGACCCGGGGAGCCTCTCTTTGGGATCGGGGGCTTTATAGATATAGTCGTCGACCCGATCATACCTAACGAGACATTTCTCTAACTTAAGCGAGGAATTGTTAAGGCTATAAGTTTTTGGAATTTCAAGGAGGACGACCTCGCCAACCGGATCTCGCTCGATTTCTAAGTTTTGGTTTGGAGACTTGATGGAGCCAATATGTCTCTTGGGAAAATTCGAAATAAATGCCTGAGAATCAACTGAAAGGATTTGACTATCAGACTCACAAGGAAACCCGTCAGACGAAGGGGGGACGCCGAACCAACCAAGCGCGAGGACAAGCGGCGGGGGGCTGGTCGGTCGGTCGGCCTCACCGGACCTGTCGACCAACCAGCCGGTCGGATCTTTTCCGGCGTCGACTAGTCCCTCAACTATTTTCGTTGGAAGAAGAAGAAGAGATGCTAGCTTTGTACATGATTTTACAAAAAATGAAGAAAAAAGGAGAGAAAGTTACCTTGGAAAAGAGGGAACCTTGGAAGAGAGGAAGAACTAAGATATTCGGAGGAAAAGAAAATGGCTCACATGTGAGGGACCACTCCCTTTTATAAGCAAGAGGGATTCAAAATTTTTGGGGGGAAAATTCCCTCCAAGATCATGCCCATTGGTTGGGCGCCAAGTGTATAGTGGAATAGCTGTCCGAACCAAATTGCACTACTCGACTTGTTCACTCAAGCTAATTTTATTTTTTTTTAAAAATCCGTATAAAGGAAGTTGCTACTCCTCTGTAGAAAAAATATCGACAAGGAGTAGGAGGGCTAATGATATCAGTTAACATAAGAAATCACTTCCAAAGATAGGCAATGTAAATCATGACACGCCAATGCGAAGTCATCAACCACCTGGGGTGCGTCTACCTCTACAAGAGACCATCAACCCCCGGGGTGCGTCTACCTCTACAAGAGACCATCAACCCCCCGAGGTGCTCCACCTCTACGCGAGACCATCGATCCCCCCCGAGGGCTCTACCTCTACGAGAGACCGTCGACCCCCTGGGGGCGCTCTACCTCTATGCAAGACCAGCGACCGACATGGAATTACCTATAAGGTCATCTCAACACTTAGTCTCAAAATCTCTGATGAATTAACAAGGTTACATGGCGGTCACCACGAACACAACCTTCGTGGGTTAGTTAAGACCTCCCACTTAGAACGTGGGGATAATGGGAAGGCCAACGTGGCACCACAGCCACCCGGCTCTCACTCGGCTTATGACGTTTATAAATACCTCCCAAGGGCAATACATGTATGGATAATTGCATATTTTTTAGCTATCTAAATTTCGAATTTATTTTCTCCTAACGCACCTACTGATTCTCATACCAGAGGTAGAAAGGGAGAGAGAGCCCCGACCTCACTTTTGCAGATAATAATTGGTCATCGGAACGACGGAAGCACCCTACACCGCCAGGAGGGCACAGAGGTTCTTTCCTTAATCATTTCAGAAACCAAGCTTTTAAATCCAACAAATCAAATGTTAATATTTATGAATAGAAACAGCAACACCTCAAATCACATAACAATGCCCACAAAACTCAAGGCGATTCCAAATTTTGGAAATAATATCCAACCTCCAGTGAGAAAAAAACAGATTCTGCCTTTTGACATAATTTACATTCCTTAAATGTATAGCAGGCAGAGCCGGTCCTGAGGCGAGGCAGATGAGGCCTGCGCCTCAGGCCAAAAACCATAGGGGGCTTCATTTCGTTGGCCCTTTAATTGCAAGCTTGCAGTCGCCATTGTTGTAGCGGGAAGCTTGGAGCTGGAGAGAGGAAGATGGTGTGTTAATTGGGCCATTTTTTATTTTATTTTTCAAGATTGTGGACCTTTTATTTTGGACTTTTTTTAATTAGGCCCATTATATTATGAATTGATAATAAGTTAAAATGTTGGCAACCCTTCTCTCCCGTTCTCACTTCTCCCAAATCGGCAATTGCAAACCCTATTGGCTATTCGGCTTCCAAATCTGAAATTGTGGGTGAGCAGCTCTCTAGCCAAGTATGTGAGCCACCGGTGCATCATTGTCCTCCGCCAAACTGCCACTGTCTCCACCCTATCCCATTTTTTCGACAAATGAGCTTGTGGATTATGGGTATGTTATGTCTAAGTTCTTATCTGCTCTAATGATGTAAATTTTGTTGGTGAATTAGCTTCACTGCACCCATATGGTAGATGAATGAAATAAGAAATTTCCTCATTTTATTTCTACTAATTAATTTTTCTTGAAGATGTTTCTGGTCATGTTTTATATCGGCTTTTTTGAAGAATGACTTCCTTTTTTTTTTTTTTTTTGCAAATTATTGTTTTAAGTGTCCTTTTCTTGCTATTTGCTGGTCAATGTAATGAAATCCTTATATTGCTCTTATAGGGCATGCTTATTTATTTTCTGATTAAAATTAAACTATTAACATTCAAAAAGTAAAAAATGTAAAAGTTATGTGTCTTTTTAACAATCAAGTAAAAAAGTTATTTTATTGGTTAGTTTTAAGTTAAAAATAGGTTGTGTAATACACGATTGAATTTGAATCTATGATGGTTTTGGGGGGGCCTACTTTATGAAGCTCGCCTCGCGCCCCCTGAAGATCACAGGACTGGCCCTGATAGCAGGCCATAATTCATCATTTGCACTCCAATTACCATGACTTTAACTTGACGATAAAATGCAACAATTCTTATATATGCATACCACATGGAAAGGAAAAAATTGACGGAAAAATATCTACCAAGCCAAATTACAACAACCAGAAATACATTTCCAGATTATTTTAACTAGAGTCATTAAAGATTAGGGTTTAAACAAGCTATTTCAGCGGGTCCATCACAATGCAGCGTCGTGAATTCATTAGTTCTGCGTCGACTAAATCCAATTACTAACTTATGCCATATATGTACACTCATACAGGATGAAAAGTGGAGAATTTGAAATAAAGGTACCTGATGAAGTGGATTTCAATGAAGTTCGGGAGGTAGGACAGACGGAAGAGGAGGAAGTCATTTGGGGAGAAATAATTCGGCACAGCCGCCACGAAAAGTAGGGTAGTTCGGGCCCGGGATCGGACAAGGTGTTGCCTGTGGGGGTATGTGAAAGTTTTCGGAAGAGATGGCCAACGCCTCTGAGTTCTGCCGGCTCCTAATTATTACTCCGCGGCGGAGGAGGTGACGGTGGTGATAAGAGGTTGAGGGAAGTCCACCGTGTGAATTTTGAGAGTAGACATAAGTTGAGAGGAAATTGGAAATTGTTTTTTGGATCAAATATTATGGGAAAATGCTATCGTAACAGAGTAGGTGACATAGGCCCATGTCAGCCACTCTGTCTTTTGAGCATTTCCCAATATTATAAAACCAATTGAATTTTGGGATTTTCTTGAACAGATTGATTAAATAATTTATGAAGTCAGTTGAAATTTGCCGGAGAAACATGAACAAAAATAGCTAATTGACAAAAAACAAATATAAAAATTCCTTTTCAATTTTTGTGTATTGCATATTAAAGGACCAAGGTCATACTTTGCACCCCATTATTTGGTAAAAATAAATTTTGGAATATTGAACTTTTAGAGAATGCGTAGTTGAAAAGTTGAAAAATGTTTTAGATTTACGTGTAACATTATTTTATTAAGAAAATATGTTGTTGATGAAATTGAAGAAAATTTTATTATTGAAAATAGGGTTCAACAAGTTGTAAGTCAATTGATATTATTTTACGTCGTCTCCACAATTATTGTGCATCGGAGACTTCGAGAAGTAGTTTAATATTTGAGTATTATGGAATTAATTCAAAGGCCCTCGAAAAGTTAATCTAGTTGGAATTATATATTTCAAAAAATAGTCCAATACCTAAGTATTATGAGATTAATCGGATATTCTTTAGAGATTTGAAAGTTATTTAGAACATGCTTGGTTCGAATTAAAATTTAATTTTAATCTAAGTCAAAGTCGAACAATTAATATTAATCACATATTTTATGGGATCCACAACTTTTCAACCACACATTTAAAAAACTTCTATTACAGTCCACCTAGTGAAAGATCTCAAGAAATAGTGTAGTATTTGAGTACAATGGAATAATATGGTCTCCTCTAGAGCTCTTGAAAAGTTATTTATACTTGAATTAGAAATATCAAGAAGTCTAATATTTGCATATTGTGGATCCTCTCTAAAGCTCTCAATCTTGAGAAGTAGTCCAATACTCGAGTGTCATGGGATCCTTCATAACTCCCATAACTTTTTTGTAGTGGCTCCCTTCCATGTCTCATTTAAGAAGGAACCTTAAAGTGGCTCTCCCTAGAGACTTTCGAAAGGTTAAATTGAGCTTGAATTAGGGATATTGAGAAGTGGTATAGTTTTGACTTTGAGTACTATGAGATTAATATAATATCCCATATAGCTCTCAAAAAACTATTTATACCTAAATTGGAGATTTTTCGAGTGATGTAGTGCTTGAGTATCATGGGATAAGTACGATCCCTTTTAGAGGCTCTCAAAAAGCTATTTCTCAAGTGTCAGATAATTAAAGAAAATTTATTCAATCTTGAAGTTACGACAATAATTAGTATTATTATTATTATTTTTTCAAGTAAGAGATCTAATGAATAATTTTGAGGGAGTTTTAAAGTAAACAATAATATTGACACGATATATCAATTCAATAGGCTTTAAAAACCTTTTTTTAGAACAATAGGCGTTTATTGAACAAATATTATTTTAAAATTTTAAAATTTATTTTAGGTTGTAAGGTTTTTGGCTTGTTTGAACTCTTTTGAAAAATTCCTCGACATTTTCTCTCTCAACTTTTGATTTTAAATCATCAATTATTGATTCTAAATTCTTTTGTACATAAAATTATCAAAGGGTTCAAAATGTTCTTATTCATCACATCATGTTAACATAAGCAAATATCAGTGTGTAGACGACACACTTTAAATTTTCTTTTGAAGAGATTGGGTATGCTTTTAGGAAAAAAATAACACGATGTTGACCTACTTTTTGTAAAAGCTCTTTAAAGAGAGTGTATGTGATTTTTAGCGTTAATTGAGCTTCATTTGTTTAGAATATATTTTTGAAGAAGTGATACTTTGAAAGAATTGATGGTTAAAAAGTGGGAAAAATTCATTTATGTGTAAACTTATTTTATTGAAAAAAATATGTGGTGAAAATAAATTTGAGAAAAAAATTAATTTTAAAGAATGAGGCTCAATTGGTGCTTAATAGAGAAGAGAAATAAAACTACGCAATTATGTTAATGATAATTATATTGCTATAATTTTTATCAATTGTATCACATTTTATTTTCAACGAAGGTCTTCAATTTTGCTCTTTTTTGATAATTACGTTCTCAACTTTTTTCAATGTATTCTTATCAAAACTTTCAATTAATTATAGCATTTATCTCTAAGACCAGTTTCCATCAAAATATTCTGCTAGCGTGAAGAAAATATTTGGTTGAACTTTTATATTTATTGTTTATATCTTATCTAAAAATTCGATGGGCAAAATTTTTACTCTCTTGTAACGATTATTCTGATCTTTATCAAGGATAAGATGTATTAATTAATAGAGGATAAATATTTGGGGACAGAAGTGTCAAAATGAATAAAAGTTAAGAATGTTCATTAAATTTATATATGGCGCATTTACATTAATGTCCTTCAATCTTTTCTCATTGTAGTAATTATGCCCCAAAAATTTTTTGGTCTAGTTTTTTTGAGCGATTTCCTATCAAATAGTATGTATTGCTAATGATTTCTATTCAAAATCTCTATGAAGATGACATAAAAAGACATACGTTCCTTATACTCTTATAACAAACAAATAAATAAAAGTGTCATAAAAATACTTTTTTAATTTACAAGTGCACAAACATAATATTTAAATAAGGACCAAATACAATATTTAACGGAAGGTTGAGGATAAGAATTTGATCAAAAAGTTTAAAATATAAGTAATATAATAGATAAAGATTAAGGACTTCGAGTATAATTAAAATTTATCAACTCTTTAAAAAACTATGACGCCCATAGTTATTAAACCCGACCCGGCCATTGACCCTGTCAAGGCACTGGGTCTCGAGTTACTAGTCAAATCGGTGGGTTAATGGTTAGACTGGTGGGCCAATGCTTAATAATTATAAAATATTTTTTAAGTATAAAGTTTTTCTTTTAGATAAGATAAAAAAAA